TTGACTTTAAAAAAATGAATACAATAAAATTTATTCTTATAATTTTTATTTTTCGAACCTTTCTCAAATATTATTTAGAATCCTGATTTTTACTTTAAAAAATGTGTTGTAACACTTAGAATTGCCATGCTTCAAAAATATCTAAAAATTGGCAAGAAAATAAAAATGAGAATTTCATAAGCATCATATTTTTGTAAATCATATTCCTATTATTGATATTTCTTTTATTAATTTTCATACTTAATAAATGACTAAAATTATTATGTTTTTACATAAAAATTAAAAGATTTCTAGACCTTTTCATTAAAAACTCAATAACAAGAAAGTTTTCAGACAAAGAATGTTTTCTATAAGGAGTAGTTTAAGTTAGAGTTTGAAATATTCTTTATTAAAATTAAAAATTTACAAAGATTTTGTTAAATTTTTTTAAAAGAAGATTTTCTGGAAAATGGTTAAATAAGTTTTCTGATCAAATTTTACCTAAAATTCTAAACATTTTATAAAATTTTACAAATCTTTTGTCATTTTTATACAAAAAAAAATCTTTCATGATCAAATCACAAATTTTTTAAAAAATGATTTTGATCTTCTTATGAACTCTGCAATTTTGATATCTTCGAAAAATTTTGCTCAAATATATAAAATAAAAAATCTTTGTAAATTTTTTTTTCAAACTGGTTTAAAAGGTTCCTGTGATAAGAGGGAAATTTTTACAGTTATTTTATTTATTATTTGAGAATGTCACTAAAAAAGAAACTAAAGTTTTGTAAACATAATAATGATTTTCAAATTTTAAACTTGAAAGGATGAAATTAGATATTTTTTTTAAAGCAAAACAGAGACATTTTAAAATATCAATCGATAAATTCGTATCTCATAAAATACAAAATACATGTAAGTAAACTTGTAGAATTTTAATTAAAATAAAAAAATTAATAATTATAATATAGTATTAATTATATAAATATATATGAATATTTTATTATTTTTACTAGATATATGAGAAATTTAAGAAAACGAAAAATGTAATTTAATTAATATAAATTGATGATCATAGTCAACTTAGGAGATATAATTTTTAAAGTTTCATAAAGAACTCATTCTAGGATATTGTTCTATCTCTATATTTTTTAGTGGGAAGAATAAAATGCTGGATAATTTGGAAGAATATATTTGTTACTTAATAGTAGCGCCAATCGCATCCATGATAGGCATCTGCTCTAATATTTACCTGCTCTCATTTTCGGGTTACTTAGAAGAAATTTACCCTACGGGAATGGGACGTGCGCTTTCTAAATATAGTAGATTTGGGAGTAGGCTTATTCTCCTTCCTGTGGCCTTGGCTTTACAGCCTGGGAAAATACAAGAATTTTACACATACCTACAACCATTTACATGGCCTTTTTTCACCCAGTGATTCGCAGTACATGGTCAAAGACTATCTCATTTCTCCTACTTCTCTTCAGTTTTGAGCGATAGTGATAGTGAAACGCAACCGTTTCACCCTCCTGGGGAACATCGAGTTCGTAAAATTTAGTTCCCTCTTGTGTCTATCAGCCGGTCTTCTATTATCTCTATCACGCACCACATAGTACTAGTTACCTCAAAGTGTGGCCCGACATTCAAGTTAGCAATAAACAAGATTGGACAGTGTACACTACTCTCTACGATGAAGATTGGTTTCACCAGAAAGATAAAAAGGGATCTATAAGAAAAATTATGAGAGGTAATGATTTTATCATTTCTGGCAATAGAGCGAGTAATTATGTACAATTAAATAGTGAAAAAAATAACATGAAATCTTTGAAGAAAAGGATAAGTGAACTTTTAGAATTGAAGAATAAACAAGTTGGTGGCCAATTTAATGGAAATAATGAAAAAAGGAACATTTTCAATGGCAAACGAGCTAAGGAATCAAATGCCGTAGACAATTCTTCCGACGAATTGATGGTGAGTTCAACCATATTTTATCTAAAGCCTGCAGGTAGTAATGTAGTGATATTCTTCATTATATGTAATCTATAGTATATCTGGAGCAGTCTGAATAAGATGGGGGGGGGGGGCAATTTTTTTTATATATTCTAAAAAATGTGAGATATTTTTTTGGTTAATAAATTTTTTATTGTTTTGTTAAAAACATAGTTTTAAATTTACCAGGGTTATCAAAAAAATAATCTAATATAAAACAAAAGTTATTAATTAATATTTCAAATCAATAGAAAATATAAGCTGTTTATAGGTAAAAATTTGAAAAATTTACGTTAAGTTAAATTTAAAAACCTTATCAGCCCCAAAATTAGTTCAAATAATTAATCATCATCCTGAGAAATAAGCTAAGATAATGCGAAATAAAAAATAATTACCAAAGGTAAAAAAATATACGTTAGGTATTTAGGATTTACAAAAATTTTATGGAAACAAAAATATCTTTAAAGATAAAATATAAATGTATTATTATTATTTCTAGGATGTGTTAATAATCGTAACTTTACAAAATATAAATATTACATAATTTAGATATATTAGATATATTAGTTTCTGAAGGGATAGGGGGTCAAGCGACATTGTCTGATGGTTTTAACATGTTCTAATCAGAAATAATTAGCGATAGTAGAAACAAATAGATTTAATTTGTGATTACTATAAAAATAATTATAACTCCACTTTGATTAATTAAATTAATCTTAAAGCTAATGTGCAAACTATTATTAATTTATTACATTTTTTTACCAATTTTAATTTTAAATTTAATTTTAACTTTAATTCTTGTTTATGTTGTTTTTGAGTAATATTTAAAACATTTGAAAATTTAGATGTGAACATGACATATTATGAGCAAATACGCAAATTTAATAGCAGAAGTATAAATCGGTCATTCCGCCTAAATAAGTGTAAAAGAGTAAATGTAATAGCAAAAGGGAAAATAATAGAAATTTGACGGCAGCTTTTGAACCCTATTTTGGTTTATTTTAAGTGTTTGGTGGCATTTTTATCTTGGTATTTTTGTTTTTATTTTCCTTTAATTTAAAATTATTGAAACTGATCTAATTTAAGTTCCTGTTAATTGAATTGTCTTTATAATTTAAGCAGAATTTGACACTTCACATAAATAATATATATAATAATATATTAAATTTAATATTTTATTAATAATAGGCCCTTGTAAAATATTATTTTTGGATGGAATGAGTAACAGGGGCAGAAAATAAAAAATCGAGTTTTCATGTTTTAATGTTAATTTTAATTTTGACTTCTGTTGATTAAAAAAATGTCCTTCTAGCAACAAAATCATACTTGACCTCGATTTCACCGTATAAAGATTCCACAGCAATTACACCTCAAACATTATACTTTAGGAGGGCCACCTGGCACAAAGATTTTGTTAAATCTTACGTTTTGGAAAATTTAGCTGCCCTACTGGCTTATGCTATTACTACCATGTCCACTACATTAAATCTTGCATATATACTGAAACGTAATAAAGTTCTCGACCAAATTAAAAAAAATAATAAGCGGGACTAGAGTATCATGGTAAGTGACCAATATTCAGCCTCCCGTCCCACAATGCAAAAACAACAAGAATGTGGCGGTATAAGAGCATGGGTTAAGAGAAAACGGAGACCTAAGTTAGAAGAAACTATTAGTTCATTTGACGTGCTAAGAACCCTGGGTTTAGGAACGAACTTTGATCTGATAAGGGAAAATTCTGCGGACAACGAATATAATAATGGCATGGCCTTACGTGGATTCAATGCTTTAATCAGCTGGATGAACAAAATATGTGGTTCAGGGTGATTTGTCCTTTATTCTGTTATAAAGGACGGACAACCGGCAAAATTCTAGGCACCATGCATTATGATGCTACAATCGAAAGCGGTAATGACCGAATAGGTAAAAAGAAAAACAAACGTCGAAGTTCTTACGGGTTCCTGACAGTTCCTAAAAATGAGATAATCCGAACACATTTGCAAATTCGGTCCACGATTTTCAAGTTTATCTGTATCTTTCCCGGGCTAATTATGACTATATTATTCCCATACTTTAGTCAACATCACATACCATTTCCTTTAGTGCCTCAACCTTTCATTGAAAAATATTACATGGTTCAACCAATTATAAATATCCTAGAATACATAAATATAGCTGTCACACCTTGGATTATGATATTAACGTTACCTGAGATGAGGTCTGTTGTGTTTTGTACTTTTACAATTACGCATATATATAATTTTAGATACGAGATGTCAGTTAACTTCTACATTATATGTAGTCATACATATATATATATTTATATATAGGAGATGTCAGTTATTTTCAACGTTATTTGTATTCATACATATATATATAATATTATATATGAAATGTTTATACATATATTGCTCGTGGAGCAATTATTAATTATCATTGTCTTGGATTTTCTTTTGTTTTGTATTCGGTAAAATCATCTGATAATATTCAGAAAATAAAGTAGTGCAAATCAAATATTCTTTTCCGGAAGGTTTGAAAGTAAGTAAGATAAGGAGGTGGAGAGGTAAGGGAATGTTTTTTTTACAGTTGTTGACCGTGAACCAGGATCCGAGGGTATGGGTTAATGCGGGGTAAACAGGTAAATAAATAATATTTTAATATTTTATGTTTAATCATATATACGCAATGTACTATGGATTTTATGGAAGAAAAATGGTATGTTAATTGTGGAAGTATATGAGTATACGGGCCAAAGTGTTGTGAGGTTTATGTATTTTCATTTTTGAATGAGTATTTAAATAATTTTAATTCATACATTATAGGGGAGCTATAGTTGTTCATTTTAATATTTGTATTAAAATTTTTAATTTATATCTTTATATTGGGGAACTGTAGATGTAAATTTTTATGAATTTAGAAGTAGGGGAGATTAATTGTTAAGTAAATAATAATAAGATTGAAAGTATGTAAGGGTCACTAGGTGGCAGGATTGCATTTAATTAAAATATTTTACACCAACATAAGACCTGGGGGGAGTAACAGATATTGTTATCTCGTGTCAGCTGATTCTTTATTGTGTCAGTTTTTGTGTCAGCTACCATTAGATATGGTCAAATACCTATTACTTGACAATTTGGTGTCAGGTATTTTGGGAATAGGTTTTATTGGTGAGTATTTTAAGCCTTAAGACTCTTTGAATGGAGGTAAAGGTCTTCCGTCAGAGGAAAATTCAGGACCTAATGATATGCAGGACAGAAAAGATTACTTAATATTTGAATTTTGGGGATTTTAATTAGCAGGAATAAATTTGGGTCTTGCAATGTAAATAAAGGAAAATAAGATACATATATATATCTATACATAAATAATTACTTTTATATTGGTGATTTTTGTTTAAAAAAGAAGCAAATGTTGTTACATAAATTGGTAGAGTCAGAGTTTTTGTAACAATATGTTTTGGATGATTATTGGAAATTTAATGTGAGGAAATAATTTGTAAATGGTGTACAAATTATGTGAAAAAGAAAATAGGTTTCAGTTGGATACTGGACATAGGCTTCAGTTGGATACTGGACAAGTTTTTTTTTTTAATTTTATTTTGTAAAATATACTTTCATAGTTTTATAACACATCACATTTTATTATATATATTCAATATATCAATAAGAGATTTTTGTTTGGTCTCACATTTTTTTAAATATATTTTGTTCACATTGTAAATATTAAATGTATATGAAAGAAGTTGATTAGATTATTGAGTTGAATGAAGTTTATGGAATAATGTGGATGGACAATGGGTAAATGTGAGAAGGGATCCATTTACAGGTTGCATTGTTTTTGAACATTATTGGTGATGATATTAGCATGATTAATAGATTTTTTTTTTATATTTTATTTTCACAATAAATATGTAACAATTTTTGATACTTATTTTATTTGTTTCAAAATTTAAATTTTAGATTGTAATAAATATTTTCATTATGTTTATGTCAGACAATCATATATTTTAATATTTCAACCAATGTTAATAATTGAGTGAAATATTTTGCACTTTATTTTTAAAATCCAAGAGTTTATTGAGATACACCATCACATTAATAACATATATATTAATCTTCAATGAAATGATATGTTGATATTGTTGTTTTCCTTGCATTATCCAAAAATATTTTTGTAAGTTGGGTAAGAATTATTCTGAGCCCATTTTGATATGTAGCTTTTTAATTCTTGTATTACCATATTCCTGTGGTATCCTAATTGGGGTTAAAATTTATTAAGTAACAATAACATATTTGTAGATCTGTTATTGTTTGTACAATGAAATTTATTGTATCATACATTTTTTTTTTGAAATTTCAGTGGTACGTTCAAATAAAATATTACCATTCATATATTTTTTTGAAAAGATTCAAGTTTCCTCTAATTGATCATATTATATGTTTTGATTGTTATTTTGAGAAAGTAATATATATATGTCTCATTTGACCCCTGATGTGTTGGAGGATACAGATAGTGGAAGTGTGGCAGCAATAATGATCAAGAGCTATGACTCAGACGAAAATTAATATCAAGAGCTATGACTCGAACGTAATGATGGAACGATGTGAGGATGATCAAATAAACGATGAGAGATGAAGCAAAGGGGCAAAATTACATGAAAATGAATCGAACGTATACAATAAATTTAAAAAAAAAAAATAATAATACTTTTGGGATAATGTAACACCGGGTTTTTTGAAGGGCGGGTATGTTGTGTTTTGTACTTTTACAATTACGCATATATATAATTTTAGATACGAGATGTCAGTTAACTTCTACATTATATGTAGTCATACATATATATTTATATATAGGAGATGTCAGTTATTTTCAACGTTATTTGTATTCATACATATATTAATTATCATTGTCTTGGATTTTCTTTTGTTTTGTATTCGGTAAAATCATCTGGTAATATTCAGAAAATAAAGTAGTGCAAATCAAATATTCTTTTCCGGAAGGTTGGAAAGTAAGTAAGATAAGGAGGTGGAGAGGTAAGGGAATGTTTTTTTTTACAAGGTCCATAACCAAAAACTTCTTGGTATATAGAAGGAAATCTTATTGATAATAATTTTCCAGTTAAAAATTTGAGTGATGATTCTATCATAAAAAGATTAAGAGAATAAATCAGCAAAGGGAATATTTATTTATCAACAATATTTGTAGTGCAATTAATATTTATTATAATATATTTTTTTTGGCCTATATTGCTTATTAATTCTGTATAACTCAAATTTATATATATCAAAAATATTTTTTTTTTAAATTAAAAAATTACTTTTCACATTATTCATTTTCAATAATTTTATTTTGTTTATACTATATTAAGTATTTAGTAATCATAAAATTGGATAAAATTATGCGTACATCCTGAATGATATTATTAGAGTGTGTATAATATTAATATTCTAAATCCACTGACATAGCTAAGATTTTTACAATGAAAAGGTTGTGTACAAAAAAGCATTATAATTCAGACTTATTTTTCTTCTATATTTAGTGCTATTTATTTTATTTATATCCGCTTAGTAGATAGTAAAGAGAAAAATGTTTTAGTAAAATCTAAAAAATTTACTAAAATTGGCATTCTACAAGGGTGGAGGCTGACTAATCAATTAGTTGTGCGAATCACAAAAAAAGAAACTGAGTTATAAACAACATCAGAATAATGACTTTATGCTATAAGTTTGAGCAATTGGCATTATGACAGAAGGAGGAATGTAGAAATTTTAAATATCTGGTTTGGTGTTAATATATTGCTCTGCTTATTAGTTTTTCAATCAATTTTGCCAGCCACAAAAAATGACTAAACTTCTGAAAGCATCAACTTTAATATTTTACAAGAGATTTACCATGTACATTTGAGTCCTAAATGGGTTTTATGGTCTTGTGACTATTTTTAGCTCTGCCCATGTAATTAACCTCTTGTATTCCAGGCGATTCATCTAATGGCTTCTGCTTACCACGCCTTTGAAATCATTTGACTCCCTGATATCTTCCTCGAGACCTAGATTGTATATGTTTACTATGGTCATGGAATTCCTAACTGCTCACCTGATCTCTTGGAAATCCTGGCCACTCCTAGGATGTGCTGAGTGCCACCAAATTTGCATTATTTATTGAGTCTGATTAATATAACCCATGCCGTAAATGTCTCCTCCCTTGCCTTGGGTGGCAGCATAAACTGAGAGTTTGGCATCTCGGTCTTCGCAGGATGTTTAAGCTGGAATTTGCCAAGAATAGCTATTGGGTCCTGGAGGCCTGTTTATTGCTCCAATGTTGTTAAATTTGTTGTCGGGTAGACTTCGAATAAACAAAACAGCGTTTTCCCCGTTGGAAATTTTACTTGTGTAGAAAAAACTTTGCAATTTCCCTATATAGGCGCTGTCATCGTTACTGAATTTGGGAAAATCCGGGTCATATTGTCAAATAAACGTTAATTAGACTGAATATGCCCATAGAACATAATGTTTTGGTAACAAATGTTGTAGTGGGAGATAGAATTTAGAGAATACAAATAATTAGTATAATTAAATTAACTACTAATACTTTATTAATTAATATAAATTGTAATTACATAATCATAACTAAAATAAAAAATTAAAATAATATAATATAAAAAAATTAAAATTAAAAGATTAAAAATTATGTTCGCAAATTAATAATATCAATTATTTTCCAAGTAAAATATTACCGATTATATATACTTTTCTATACTATTCATTTACATATTGTTTAAACAACAAACTTAAATAATCTTGAACTTTATCTAATCTGAATTATAAATATTTTTTTTATTCATTTTTCTTTAACTAATTTGAATCTTCCAACACATATAAGTGGAATTATTCGATACATCCATCGTTGAGAAATTTTATTTGTATATGAGCGTTATATTTGATTCAGGAGAAAATGTATGTAAAGTACGAAATCAAGATCAAATTTTTTAATTTCATAATAATATCGAGCATCACATTTTTTATATATCATTTCTTTTTTTTAATGCTTTATATATCGTCTCGATTATATTAATCTATCAATGTTCGTCGCTCGTAGTGTTAATAAAAATTATTAATTTATTATAATCGAAATAACACTATTTTACGATCATCTTTATAGATATATTATTTGTTCCTTTAATTTAATCGTTATAGAAGTAAAATATTTATTACCTCATTATATTTTGCATCAGGCTATATTTTCAAATATTTTATACTAATCTAAATCTTAGATGAAGGCTGAATCCTAATAATGAAATTTTTTGAAGGCACCATTAGACAATATATAATGCTTAACTTGTATAAATTTTAGTTTAATGCTACAATCAATTGGTAAATGGAAATAAAAAAAATGTATTCTTAAACTAGGAAAATTTCTTCTAAAACTAATATCAAGATTCAATAATAGAATCACTAAAGCAATTATAATAAAAAATAAATAAACGAGATATATATAAAAAAATTACTATCATGAAATATAAAAAGTCAACCTTTTATTGATAGGGTGGATTGATTGTAGTGAAATTAATAGATTACAAATACAATAGATAATTTTTTTACCCTCAAAGCCTAAGTTTTAGCTAGTGTTTAATAAAGTAATATCAAGCTAGCTTTTACACTTGGAATCAGAAAAGCACAAAATTACCCATACAAATTATAGTTTTGGGAAACTTCCCGTTTACAACTTTTTTATATAATATATAACAAACATTTTGTGAAAATTTTATTATAAAATTTATTTATTCATAGATTTTTAGGATAATTATATATTTTATTATTGGATTTAATCAGTCGGAAGCTAAATCTAATTCGATTTAACTATAAATGAGTGGAAGATAAATTGAAATTCAAATTGTTTAAAAGAAATGTGAGTGACCTTAAAATTCTCGGGTCGCTAAGGAAATTCTAGATATAACTGGAGGCTTATGAGTATTAAGAAATAAGGTCCAAACTTGAATTACCGTTCCATTCGAGGAAGCTAAAGCTAGAATAATATCTAATAGCATATCTTTAATATTAAAGAAAAATTTAATTGATAAAAGCAATATGGCAAATTCCGGATTGAAAATCGTAAATGGGTATAGAAGAATATTTTATTTTTCTTTAATATCTCTTCTATAATTATGATGCAAATTCTATATATTTTTAATTTTTAAATAGAGATAATCTGTATCACCACATTACCGCAAAGCATTTTTTGCGAAAGGTATTATCGCGAATGTCAATTACAGTGGAAATATTTCCGCTTAGCGCTAATTCATTTTCGCATATGTATCATCGCTAAAACTTGGAAATGCATTAAGGCGAATGATTTGGATATATTACCTTAAATGCATATCTGTGATTGCATTACAGGGAAAACATTACCCAGATGCATTAAGGTTAATAAATTTTGGCGAAAACATTAGCGTGAGTACATTATAGTGAATATATTACCTTGAAAACAATATAGCAAATGCTTATGGCAAACGTATGAAAATATTATCACAAATGGATTTCCTCGATGTTATTTTATCCTTAATGCCTTGAACAAATGTCGTAAATACATTATCTCAAATGCTTATTTACAATTATGTTCTGAAGAAATTCTTACAAATTAATATGAGAATAAAATTTAATAGGTTCATTGATTCTTTAGGGAAATAAAATTTAGGAGAAATTCAGTGGGTACTCCACACTTGCCGCAAAATATTTCGCACAAATTTAGGTTTCAAATATAAAAACTTTCAAGTCAATGAATTAAGCCCTAATATAATAATGTATTATGGTTTTAAAAAAACCAAGCATTTAGATAATTCATATTTTCTTGAAACAAAATTAAAAAATTTTGGAATTCAGCGTTATATTTTTGAAACAAAATGATAAAAACATTAGACCTTCACCGTATAATTAATTATTGTGGAATATAATTCAAATGCTTTGTCCTCATAACCAACAAAAGCACCAAAAATAATCCCAATTATTAAAAAAAAATTAGAAAAATATCTTTTCCAGATTCTTTCTTTGATGATTTTGAATTGTTTTCAGAAATAAAATGTGTTTAAATTCAATATAAATTCATTTTTGCGCTTGGGTATAGTTTCTAATTAATTTAATGTTAGCGTGGCAAGTGGGGGGAAGGGAATCCCTCGCCCCATAGCGGAATTTTTGAAAAAATATAAAAAGGCTTCATGAATTATGAATTGCAAAATATAATTTATTTCAAATAGGTAATATTTTATTCTAAATATTAGCAAAAGTTAAAATTAATTTAAATATTAATTTCTTGTATATTAATATTTTATCTCACAAAAAAATCAAAGTTTAATTTCTTACATTTTTTAAACCTAAACACTGATCCATATAAGAAAATTTTATCAACCAAAAATTTTTTTTAATTTGTTTCTAATAATAACTATGATTAGAACATTTCTAGAGTGTATGAAATGTTCAGATATCCATATGAACAGAATTTGCTAAATATAATTATTTCTGAGACTTCGTGCAAAAGAGCAAAAAGCCTGGACGACAAAATGGTGACTTTGAACGCTGTTTCAACATTACTTGTATCTAGAAGAGTCTATTTTGTATGGCATCAGGGAAATATCAGAATCACCTGAAACACATATTTCATCTTAAATTGATACATTATTACATTTAATATGGCTACCGATTTTTTTCATTAGAAGATATTAATAAATTACTTATTACACAATAATTTTATGCAATATTTTCAAAAAATGGATTTGGCTGAAGTTATGAGAATCGCGAGTATTATTATATTACAACTTAGAAAACCAAGAGATAATATCGACTATTCTTGAGATCTATGTGATTGTTGAGGGGATAGAAATAATATGATTTTGAGATTTACAAGTCTAGGCTTTACCTATAAACAAATTCAATATTAACGTGGACTCAATTGTGTATCATTATAAAATAACCCTTTTTATTCCACTTTTCTAATTTTGACTCAAATTAATGTGATTTATCAAACAACATTTATAAATACTATATCTCATAACTCCCTCTGATTTGAGGATATATCAAATCTTGAA